TAAAGAGAGATAGAGAGATAGGAAAAGTCAGTTTGGGGGCATTCTGCTTTTTTCAAATTCGCGGATGACACTAATATGTGGGGAGAAGTGGGCATGCTAGAAGGAAGGAGAAGGGAAAAAAGGATCTTGGAGTCATTATAGGCTCCAAGATGAACATGGGCTGCCAATGTCGGGACGCAGTCAGGAAGGCTAACTGCACCTTGTCATGCATCCACAGACGCATCACGAGCAGGTCCAAGGAGGTGATCCTCCCCCTCTATGCGATGCTGGTCAGGCCACAGTTGGAGTACTGCGTCCAGTTCTGGGTGCCGCACTGCAGGAGGGATGTGGACAGCACTGAAAGGGTCCAAAGGAGGGCCACTTGCATGATCAGGGGGCAGCAGGGGAGGCCCTATAAAGACAGGCTACGGGACCTGAACCTGTTCAGCCTCCACAAGAGAAGGCTGAGAGGGGATCTGGTGGCTGCCTATCAACTTACCAAGGGGGCCAGCAGGGAACAGGAGAAACTCTGTTCCCCCGAGCACTACCAGGAGTAACTAGGAATAATGCCGATAAGTTGACTGAGAGTAGGGTCAGGCTAGACATCAGGAAGCACTACTTCACAGTCAGGGTGGCTAGGATCTGGAGCCAACTTCCAAGGGAAGTGGTACTCGCTCCTACCTTGGGGATCTTCAAAAGGAGGCTAGATAATTACCTAATGACCTGGACAGGCTCAGTGAGTGGGCAGACGAGAACCTGATGGTGTTCAACGCCGATAAATGCAAGGTTCTCCACCTTGGGAAGAAAAACCCGCAGCATCCTTATAGGCTCGGCAGTGCTATGTTGGCTAGCACTAAGGAAGAAAGAGACTTGGGGGTCATCATTGACCACAAGATGAACATGAGCCTGCAATGCGATGCGGCAGCTAGTAAAGCGACCAAAACGCTGGCTTGCATCCATAGATGCTTCTCAAGCAAATCCTGGGACGTCATTCTCCCCCTGTACTCGGCCTTAGTGAGGCCGCAGCTGGAGTACTGTGTCCAGTTTTGGGCTCCACAATTCAAAAAGGATGTGGAGAAGCTTGAGAGAGTCCAGAGAAGAGCCACGTGCATGAGCAGAGGTCAGGGAAGCAGACCCTATGATGACAGGCTGAGAACCCTGGGGCTCTTTAGCCTGGAAAAGCGCAGGCTCAGGGGTGATCTGATGGCCACCTACAAGTTTATCGGGGATGACCACCAGTATCTGGGGGAACGTTTGTTCACCAGAGTGCCCCAAGGGATGACAATTTGGTCGAATGGTCATAAACTACTACAAGATCGTTTCAGGCTGGACATAAGGAAGAATTTCTTTACTGTCCGAGCCCCCAAGGTCTGGAACAGCCTGCCGCCGGAGGTGGTTCAAGCGCCTACATTGAACACCTTCAAGAGCAAACTAGATGCTTATCTTGCTGGGATCCTATGACCCCAGCTGACTTCCTGCCCTTTGGGCAGGGGGCTGGACTCGATGATCTTCTGAGGTCCCTTCCAGCCCTAATGTCTATGAAATCTATGAAATTACCTAGCCAGGGTTGTTTGACCCCAGCATTCTTTCCTGCCCGTGACAGGGGGTCGGACTTGATGACCTGCTCCGGTCCTTTCCAACCCTACCAAATATGAAACTATGAAACTATGGGACAGCAGGGGAGGGGGTCAGGGGGCTCATGCAGAGCCCCCCACACAGTGTGGGGTGGTGGGGGGCAGCGGGGGGCAGCAGGGATCGCTCCCCACATGGCAGCACCTGGTGAGTCTTGGGGAGGTTTTTTTCGAAAAGCCGGGAACTGCAGTGGGCGGGACAGCCATTGCCAGGGCTGAGAGAGTGGGCGGGG